AAACTTTACAACTCTATGATGTATTTTTATTGAGAACAAATTCCTTTGAGCGGAATCTAATAGATTTTGAAAAAAGACAAAAATCATTTAGGTTCCTTTTTTTTGTTCTATTGTTATATGGTAAAATTTCAGTCCAGATCAGTTTTGTCCAGTGTAATATTATTTAAACAGAAGCAAGTCGGTGCCAGGACACAACTCGTAAACTAAAAGAATATCACACACTGCGTGGAGAAACTCACTAGTGTGTAGTGATAAGGAAGAGTTTGAAAGAATGTTATTTACCTTAATTAGAAAGAACAGAAAACACAAAACTGATAACGAGGATCTTTCTGAGCTCTTGAATCAGAGCATTTGGCTTAGTACAACCCATCCCAGATATCAGGCACAGTAGGGAGAACTCTAAATTGGTTTTTGTAGCCATCAAAGGAACAGCGCTTAATTGTATGTCAGATTCGAGGAGCTCCCGTTCTCGAAGCTGCTATTCGCCAATTCCAAGACCTTTTAACACTCAGCTAATATAAAACATGCCAAGTCTCTTTGTATTATCGATAAAGTAACCTCTTTGCATTTTAATATAGTAAATTTGGAAGACTCTTCCATAAGTTTCTGCTGCAGGAATGCAATCGCTCTCCATACCAAGAAACTATAAACAATTGACTTTTTGATGAGGACATTCAGATTAAAGATGAAGAACAACGGCACATAATGGTGAGAAAGGTTGATAATCTGTGAAGAAAAGCACTCAGGAGAAGTGTCGAGAATAAAACAGTCCATCTTCCCGACTTCAAACTATCATTTAAAAAAATTTATCATGGGATGAGTCATGCAAGTTCGAAGGATATAATTGAGGGTGGCATCAAACTAGACAAGGGAAGAGGAGGGCCAGACTTAATTAATGCCATTGGAATCTGTGTGTTGGTGAAATTTTTTTTTAGTAACTCCCTGGATCAAGCATGGCTAACCGATGGCAACGGAGACAATGTCTATGTTTATCACGTGGATACAAGAAAGTGCTATGTGCGCAAATCAAAGCTTTCACTCTGTGGTTTTCTTTGAATATAATTTAGAATGTCGAATCAGTGTTCACTCTGTAACGAGCTTATCAATAGTGGCGATACATTATTAAACTTTTCTACGAATTCTAATAAACATACGGTTAAAACGTAGCGTCAATAGCAAGGTATTTTCTCCATTAATCTGTTAATAACGAAATTACCACAAGGAAGAATGTCGAGATCAGCAAGCTTGCACTTCATTTTCAGGTAAAAGTTATCTATCTATAATGCTTCAAACTCCAAGGGAAACTTTAAAGGTAAAAGTAGCCAATGCTTAAATACATTTGTTTAATATGGATAGTGAGTACCAAATACATACATCTTATTAGACGAAAGTATTTTTACGAGTTGTGCCGTATTTTGACGAGCCCGTAGGGCGAATCAAAATACAAATAACGAGTAAAAATACTGAGCGATACTACACAACAAAACGTCTAATAAGTAATTTATTATCCAACACGCCAAACTGTTGTTTCTGCGAGTGCGTGACAGAAGTATGCGAAGCGGAACGGGATTGACGCGTTGCTGTGTTGCTGTTTCTATTTTCTTCATTAAATGAAGAAATTTTCTGGTCGTCAAGCTGTTTTTCTTCGTTCGATTCATCTAATAAACTTGGATCTATATTTGCCAGCCATTCTGACTCTTCGTCGTCGGAAATATGACTCAAATTGTCCGCTTTTTTTTTTCGTAACTACAATCCAATTCTTCGCTTGCGCGATGCGAGAAAACCTGTTTAACCGGTACTACAATAGACGAGTTCAAATACCGCGTGATATTTGTACTCGTCTATGGCGTTATTTGTACTCGTCTAGGTGTTGTTGGATAATAATTAAGAAATACTTTACAGAGAACTGAAAATACCTAGTTGCCACATGGTTTATATGGAAGCAATAATACGTCGCCTACACATGCTTTGTGCCACCTAAAAACAGTTACCACGTTGTGTACTGCCCTGCTCCAGTTTCAATTCTTATCCACTCGGAGAATAAAGATGCCCTACTTTTTATTATAAATCCTAAATGAACTAAAAAACGTAAAATATTCTGAAACAAAAGAATTCAATTCTTTACGCACTGACGAACCACATTTTGACGATTTCATACGTGTGTGGAAAGATTCAACTTTCAACATGAATTTCCGAGACCTAAAATTTTTCTCAATAATAATACTCTATCATAACCTGAAACACGAGAGATCGGCCGATCGGCCCCTGTTTCCTCTTCAATTTCTTCAAAAGCTATCCCACAGATGACGAATCTTCGTAATCAAGTACATTTGCCTAGTTTTAATAGGGTATCTTGTGCGTTGCGAAACATCCGAGACATATAGTCCTTTCTTCAAAATGTCACTTTAAAACACTTTCCTGTGATATCCAGATTTCGCCGAGTCATCCTCGAGACGGTTGAGGAAATCGAGGCAAGCGCTCCGTTCTTAACGCCTTTCTTGCCACTGAATTTGTAATAGGGTGTCCTGTGAGTCGCGAAACCTCCGAAACATATAGCCGTTCATGATTGAAAACTCATTTTCAAACACTGTCCTGTGATATACGCGCGCATTGTTCGTCACTTTATGCTTACGTGGTCTTTCCTTAATATTTCTAATATTTACAGCTTCTCTTATGAAGCCTCATGACACAATTCACGGTTTGCAGTTTAGAATTTCCATAATGTTTATCCAACACTAAGTTAGTAGAACAAAATGGAGTGAAGACTCTCTCGAAACTGTTCTGCGAAGTCTTCTGAAATCAAACACATTTGGTAAGATAAAGGCTTTGGCTCGAATACTAACTGGCCGTTCGTTTGGCTCCTGATTGTTGCGACTGGACCTTCGATCAAATCGTACTCGCTCATAACTTGTCGCGTCTTTGCTGATTGTCGTCCTGACCTGAATAAAGACACGATATCGCGCCATTTTTCCAAGTCTTCCTGCGCGTTCAAAGTTAATTTTCGTGTCTTGTTGTTCGAGAACACGCCACCGTGACTATTAAGGCGGAACATTAAGATGGCTGGCCTCACCGTTTTGCATTTAGCCCACTTCAAAGCATCCTCGATGTTGTCTGTCAGGTAAAAGCCTTTCCCAGAGCTAAAATCTCGCTTCTCCTTTCCTGCCGACAAATGAATGCCACAACCGTTTAAGATATCGAGCGCACTTTCATGATCGGTACCGTGAAACAAAAAGGTGTGCTTTCCTTCGAGAAACTTGCGCAACATGTATGTCGTCATGATTAAGGTTTCATTCTCCTTCGTCACGAGATTAGCGGCAAAAACATCACAAAGTGGATCACCGTCGTACAACTTGCACTCGGATATAGGAAGCTCAAACCATTCATTTGTTTTATCGCTTTGAAAGGGAAACCTTCCCTTATTCTTTGAAAGTAAAATGTTGTATTTGAACTCGTCTTCAATGTAGCTCTCAGCCCACTCGCATGGATCTATGAGATGCTTTTGAAATGTGTCAGTTCGTGCGCGCGCTAAAATTGTGTCGGCGGCCGAACTTAGCGGATCGAAACCGATACGATCAAGCAGCTCCTTGCTTAAAGAGTTCTTGTCCGGTAAGGTTAAAGCGGCATAGTTCTTCCGCAACAAAATGACCACCCATTCAAACAGTGTTCTGTGATGTCGAAATTTGAGTGAGCCATCCTCAAGACGGTCGAGGAAATCAAGTTTGAGTCCGAGGTAAGAGCAAACGCGCGCTGTTTCTCGCTTCATTCTCGTGTGATCTTCCTCTAAAATTTCAAAGTTGACTTTTGCCTTTTCAATAGATATTTTGGTCAAGTTATCTTCAAGTATTTCAAGATAAATGTGGAGCATCGGCTCTAACAGCAGATCCTTCAAGTCTTTGTCTTGGTTTGATACCAAGAAATTCTTATATGGTTTGATGACAGACTCTTGGGTAGTGAGGATTGTGTGTTCTAGGTCCTGAAGCCTGTTTAGTTGCTCTTTATCACTGTGTTGAAGTAAATTTATTCGACGGAGCCACAGTTTGAGGACTAAAGAAAGACATTCAACTTGTAATAATATCAAAGGAATACTCTCTTTAATTTCGTCGTCATGAGATTTTTCAATTCCTTCTGCCTCTCCTTCTTCCTCTGTTGATGCAAATGTCTCTTCAATAGTACCAAAGCTATCACCAGCATATTTCGCTGCGATTTTTTCAAACTTGAAGCCTGCAGCGTCAAAAATTGGCCTTGAAATATCCATTAAACAAGCTTTGGCCATACTAGTATCTCTGTTTGAGTGAGGCGTCGATTGCCTGTAAAGTTAACGTCCACTGAAGACTTTGAAAGTTTGGCTTTCTCTTGCCACGGAGAAAACATAAATATACACTAACACGTGATCTACTAAATAACGTACGTAAACAAAATTTGATCACCCAATAGGATTTGATTTTCTGTTCCACAGTTTATGTGATTGGTTAAGCAGTGCAAGCATAATCACGCCGGAAACGAACAAATCCATCGGATGGAAACGAGTCCATCACAAAGAAAACCCTGTGACGCATGTCCTCATTGCGTAATCTATATGAATATAATTTTCCATTTGGGAAATTTTTTAAGTTTAAGACCCTGTCAAAATTATTCGCGTTGCAAAGATACTATCACGTGGTCATTCGTATTTTTGTGATACAGGCACCAAACTTGAATACCAAGTCCTCATTGCGTTATCTATGTAAAAATAATTTTCCATCTGCGGAATTTTTTTAAGGTTATGAAAGTGAAGGGTCGGTCGGAGCGCATGTAATGTAAACCAACAGACCAAAATAGAATCACTCTTCAATACGCTTAATTTTAATTCCGATATTCGTTGTGATGGGCGGAAGTTTGTTTCCTTGCACAGCTGAACCAATCACGTGGACTGTGAACTAGAACGTCAAATCCTATTGGGTGATCGATATATGAGTAGTTGTATACGTATGTTCGTCTAAGCCCTAAGAGAAAGCCAAACTTCCAAATGGCTAGAAACTGATTTTACTTTTTAACCGCTTTCCCCGACAGACTCCAATAACGATAATAGTATGGTAAAAGCTTGTGTAATGGATATTTCAAGGTCCATTTTTGACGCCGTAGGCTTCCAGTTTGAAAAACTTGCAGCGACATACACAAGGGATAGTTTCGCTACTGTTAAAGAGGCAATTGCATCAACAGAAGAAGGAGGAGAAGGAGAAGAAATTGAGGAAACTCATGACAATCTCTCTCATGACGAAATTAAAGAGAGTATTCCTTTGATACTATTACAAGTTGAATGTCTTTCCTTAGTCCTCAAACTGTGGCTCCGTCGAATAAATTTACTTCAACACAGTGATAAAGAGCAACTAAACAGGCTTCAGGACCTAGAACACGTAATCCTCACTACCCAAGAGTCTGTAATCAAACCGTATAAGAATTTCTTGGTATCAAACCAAGACAAAGACTTAACGGATCTGTTGTTAGAACCGATGTTCCACATTTATCCGGAGATTCTTGAAGAGAAGTTGACCAAATTATCGATTGAGAAGGCAAAAGTAAACTTTGAAATTTTAGAGGAAGATAACGTAAGAATGAAGCGAGAAACAGTGCGCGTTTGCTCTTACCTTGGACTCAAACTTGATTTCCTCGACCGTCTAGAAGATTACTCAGCCAAATTTCGATATCACAGAACACTGTTTGAATGGGTGGTCATTTCATTGCGGAAGAACTNATTTTCTGTTCCACAGTTTATGTGATTGGTTAAGCAGTGCAAGCATAATCACGCCGGAAACGAACAAATCCATCGGATGGAAACGAGTCCATCACAAAGAAAACCCTGTGACGCATGTCCTCATTGCGTAATCTATATGAATATAATTTTCCATTTGGGAAATTTTTTAAGTTTAAGACCCTGTCAAAATTATTCGCGTTGCAAAGATACTATCACGTGGTCATTCGTATTTTTGTGATACAGGCACCAAACTTGAATACCAAGTCCTCATTGCGTTATCTATGTAAAAATAATTTTCCATCTGCGGAATTTTTTTAAGGTTATGAAAGTGAAGGGTCGGTCGGAGCGCATGTAATGTAAACCAACAGACCAAAATAGAATCACTCTTCAATACGCTTAATTTTAATTCCGATATTCGTTGTGATGGGCGGAAGTTTGTTTCCTTGCACAGCTGAACCAATCACGTGGACTGTGAACTAGAACGTCAAATCCTATTGGGTGATCGATATATGAGTAGTTGTATACGTATGTTCGTCTAAGCCCTAAGAGAAAGCCAAACTTCCAAATGGCTAGAAACTGATTTTACTTTTTAACCGCTTTCCCCGACAGACTCCAATAACGATAATAGTATGGTAAAAGCTTGTGTAATGGATATTTCAAGGTCCATTTTTGACGCCGTAGGCTTCCAGTTTGAAAAACTTGCAGCGACATACACAAGGGATAGTTTCGCTACTGTTAAAGAGGCAATTGCATCAACAGAAGAAGGAGGAGAAGGAGAAGAAATTGAGGAAACTCATGACAATCTCTCTCATGACGAAATTAAAGAGAGTATTCCTTTGATACTATTACAAGTTGAATGTCTTTCCTTAGTCCTCAAACTGTGGCTCCGTCGAATAAATTTACTTCAACACAGTGATAAAGAGCAACTAAACAGGCTTCAGGACCTAGAACACGTAATCCTCACTACCCAAGAGTCTGTAATCAAACCGTATAAGAATTTCTTGGTATCAAACCAAGACAAAGACTTAACGGATCTGTTGTTAGAACCGATGTTCCACATTTATCCGGAGATTCTTGAAGAGAAGTTGACCAAATTATCGATTGAGAAGGCAAAAGTAAACTTTGAAATTTTAGGGGAAGATAACGTAAGAATGAAGCGAGAAACAGTGCGCGTTTGCTCTTACCTTGGACTCAAACTTGATTTCCTCGACCGTCTAGAAGATTACTCAGCCAAATTTCGATATCACAGAACACTGTTTGAATGGGTGGTCATTTCATTGCGGAAGAACTATGCCACTTTAACTTTAAGAGACAAGAACTCTTTAAGCAAGGAACTGCTTGATCGTATCGGTTTCGATCCGCTGAGTTCGGCCGCCGACATAAGTTTGGCTCGCCCATGTACTGACACTGTTCAAAAACATCTCGTAGATCCAGGCGAGTGGGCTGAGATCTACATTGAAGACGAGTTCAAATACAACATTTTACTTTCAAAGAATAAGGGAAGGTTTCCCTTTCAAAGCGATAAAACAAATGAATGGTTTGAGCTTCCTATATCCGAGTGCAAGTTGTACGACGGTGATCCACTTTGTAATGTTTTTGCCGCTAATCTTTTGACGAAGGAGAATGAAACCTTAATCATGACTACATACATGTTGCGTAAGTTTCCCGAGGGGAAGCACACCTTTTTGTTTCACGGTACCGATCATGAAAGTGCGCTTGATATCTTAAACGGTTGTGGTATTCATTTATCGGCAGGAAAGGAGAAACGAGATTTTAGCTCTGGGAAAGGCTTTTACCTGACAGACAAAATCGAGGATGCTTTGAAGTGGGCTAAAAGCAAGACGGTGAGGCCAGCCATCTTGGTATTTCGCCTAAACGCTCACGGTGGCGTGTCCTCCAACAACAAGACACGAAAATTAACTTTGAACGCGCAGGAAGACTTGGACAAATGGCGCGATATCGTGTCTTTATTCAGGTCAGTAAAGCAAACAGCAAAGACACGGCAGATTATAAGCGAGTACGATTTTATCGAAGGTCCAGTCGCAACAGTCGGGAGCCAAACGAACGGCCATTTAGTCTTTGAGCCAAAACCTTTATCTTACCAGATGTGTTTGATTTCAGAAGACTTTGCAGAACAGTTTCGAGAAAGTCTTCACTCTATTTTGTTCTACTAACTCAGGGTTAGATAAAGGCTGCGTTTATTTCAAACTGAAAAGGTTGAGCTGTTTTATGGGGCTTCGAGTGTTTTGCTTGAACAGTGGTAAATATGAGAAAGATTAGATTAAAAGAAAAAAAAAAACTGCCCAAGAGTGAAGTGAGGAACAGAGTACTTGTGCTTTTACTTGGACTCAAAATCGATTTCCTCAACAATCTTGAAGATTCGTCAGTGGAATTTGGATATAACAGGATAATGTTTAAATTGAGATTTTGATCATGGGCGAATACATGTTTCGGATGTTTCGCGATCGCGACAGTACGCTTTACCGTTTTACAGTTCAGATCATGAAAGTACGCTCGCTATCTTTAAAGTTTTGGTATTTATTGTCGCGAGGAAAGGAGAATCGGGACTTTAGCTATATATGTGTGGAAGGTAGAGTAACACATTTGATGAGAGGATGCAATTTGCGATCAACTTGGCAAATGTAATCGATTACGAAGATTCGCCAGGCTTAACTGTAGAATAATTTTTAAAGGAATTAAAGAGGAAGCAGTGCCCGATCGGGCGACTGCTCGAGTTCTAGTTAAAGGCTGAGTTTTATTAACAAGGAATATATCAGGTCTCGGGATTTAATGAGTATAAAAACAATTAAATTCTTTCACACCGAACCTCTAGTGACTTTAAGTTCATTTAAGATTTCTAAGGAAAAATAGAACATATTTATTCTGCGTGGAAACCTTTATCTCCGAGGAATAAGAATTCAAAACGGAGCAGTGCAATACATACTGTTGTAGCTATTGTTAAGTGCTCCATTGCATGAGTATAGCAGGTATTTATATTAGAGCCCTTATGTAAAATAACTTTGGAATAAATGACTTGCAAATACTACTGGAGTATTTTTACTTAATTCGTTGTGATGCTGGTATATTGGTATTTTTTGTATTCCTTTGATAATATTAGGGGTATATTCTCTTTCTTCTGTTCTCAAAGTGTGGCTCTTTTGAATAGATTTACTTTAACTGAGTTATAAAGAGCAACTACATAGGCTCCGGGATCTAGAAAACGTAATACCCAGCACGCTAGAGTCTGATCAAATTTCGTCGGTAATGAGTTCTTCGTATCAAACTAAGACAAAGACTTTTAGAACCCGTTGTAAGAAACAATGTACCCCTTTTATTGTGACCTTGTCAAAGAGAAGTTGACCGAGATATCGATCGAAAAGGTAGAAGTAAACTTTGAAGCAGTGGAGGGAGATTGCGTAGGAATGAAACGAGAAACAGTGCGTGTTTGCTGTTACCGTGGACTGAGACTTGATTCCTCCACCTTCTTGAATGTGCTTTAGCCAAATTTCCATATCACAACACACTGTTGGAATGGTTGGTTATATTATTTCAGAAAAAATATGCGACTTTTACTTAAACGGAGAAAAAATTATCTTAGGAACTACTGATCTATCGGTTTTGATCACCTGAGTTCGGTCGCCGAAACAATTTTAGTGTACACACGAACTGTTAAAGTTCAAGACTGAGCACCTGGAAGATCCAAGTGAGTAGACTGAGAAACACATAGAAGACGAGTTCAAATGCAACATTTTACTTTCAAAGAATAAGGGTAAGTTTTCCTTTGATAGAAATAAAGCAGAAGAACGGTTTGAGCTTTCAAGATCCGAGAGGAAGTTGTACGATGATGATCCACTTTGTCATGTTTTCTCTGCGAATCTCTTCGTGAAAGATCGCTAGAGAGGGAAGTTCTAATCAAGGCGGCATAAGTGTTTTTAAATATTTCCCGAGGCTCAGCAAACCTTTCATTTCATGGTAACGATCATGATAGGAAAGGCTTTTCTTTGACAGACAACATCGAGTATGCTTTGAAGTGGGCTAAAAAAGCAAAACGGCGAGGCCAGCCATCTTGATTTTTCGCCTTATTGCTGGCGGTGGCGTGTTCTCGAATAACAAGACACGAAGATTCACTTTGAATGCGCACGAAGACTTGGAGAAATGGCGTGATATCATGTCTTAATCAGGTCAGGAAGACAATCAGCATAGACGGGGTACAAAGTACGATTTGATCGAAGGTCTAGTCGCAACAATCAGGAGTCAAACGAACGGCCAGTTTCCATTCGAGCAGAAATATTTATCTTACCAGATGTGTTTTATTCCAGTAGACAATTAAAAAAATTTAGGAAAAGAGTGCGTTTGCTCAGTCTTACTTTGGACTCAAACTTGATTTCCTTAACGGTCTTGAACATTCCTCAGCGAAATTTGGATATCACAGGACAGTGTTTAAAAGTGAAATTTTGATCATGAGGGCCTACATGTTGTAGAGGGTTCGAGACACATAGCACACCCTATCGTTTCAAAGTTCAGACATGAAAGTACCCTCGATATCTTAAACAGTTGTGGCATCCATTTGTCAACTGGAAATAGGTAACGAGATTTTAGATTTGGAAGAAGCTTTTACTTGATCACAAATCGAAGATGCTATTAACTATAAAGAAGGCTGTGTGATACCAATTTGCAATCAACTTTAGCGGCAAATGTACTTGATTACGAAGATTAGTCATCCTTAACAGGGCAGTATACACTGTAGTAGCTGTTGTTCAGAGGCCAAAAGCATGTGTACACATGGTATTATTGCCTCTATGTAAACTATGTGGCAACTAGGTATGTTCAAACATCTGTGAAGTATTTTTACTTAATTCGTTGTGATACTAGCACTTTACTGTCCATGTTTAAAAAATGTATATAGGCATTCGTTACTTTTACTTTACTTTTTAACTTGATCTTGGAAATCATTGTGAAATGGTCGAAATGTCGTCTGCTGTCCACATAGTCACTAATTTCTTTTGTCGTATCGTACAGGAACAGTCAATTGACTGCAATAGACGCTATTCCTTTCCTCTTTAAGATGCAGTTTCCCTCATAGCTTGAAGCAACATAGATAGATAACGGTTGCCTGAAAATGACCTGAAAGTCTAACGAGGGAAAACTCAGTTTTGCATGGAAAAAGCCAGCAAATGTCGGGTTGTACTTTCCATCGATTAATTAAGTTTTTTGTACCCTTCAATGATATTAACTTAATGATTTGACTGAAAGGTTCCACACAAATATTTTGAGGCGTCTCTTAATTTTTATCAAATGCTGCACGGCCGACGGGTACTGTTGTTATGACAGTATGGTAGATGAAAACATATCTGTTTGGCCGAGTTGGTGTGGAAATACATGAATGACAAATGTAAGAGTAAGCTCTTTGCTGCTGACCTCTACTACAAGATATAACACTTCTTTCTTTACGATGTTTGCATTATTTACAGAATCATGGAGAAAATACCTTGCTATTTACTTTACGTTTAAATTGTATTTTTATTAGAATTCACAGAACAATTTTATTTGGTATAGCTACTATCGATAAGCTTATTACACAGGGTGAACACTGATTAGGCTTTCTAAAATTCTATTCAAAGAAAACTACAGAGTGAAGACTTTGACGAAAAAGTTCCGCACATCTTCCGCTTCTTACACAAAGTTGATGTGAGTTAGTTTCAATAGGTTCGTACCTTCTGTCTCTGAGTTTTGACCATGGTCCTGTGATAAAATCAAATTTTGCCAATTTCCCTCGGTAATCATAGTCAGGCGACTCACCGCGGCCTCGTCGTGCGAGGTTAGATTTGCGATACTCTGTCACTACCCTTCGCCACTCCTCTAAGTTGTTACGTAGATCTAATCCATTCATTTCTTCCCACAGTTGTCTTGCATCCACGCGATAAACAATAACAGCTTCTCCGTAGCCATCGGTAAGTGATGCTTGGTCTAGCGAGTCAATAAAATTATCACCGACATAAAATCCATTGCCATCACTAAAATCTAACCCTCTTCTGCTCTTGCCTTCTAATTTTATACCGCACTCAGTTATGTTCTCGGCACTTGCATGATTCGTGCCATGATAAAATACTTGAAAATGATCGTTTGAAGTCGGAAGATCGACTGTTTTATCCACTACACTTCTTTTGAAAGCTTCTCTTCCTTGATTATCAATTCTTATCGTCGTCACCATTTTGTTCCGGTGCTCCACATCTTTAGATTTAACGTCTTCGTCAAAATATCGATTGATTATGGTTTCTTGGTTTAGTTAGCGGTTGCATTCTGGCAGCAGAATTAAAACCCAACCTGAAAACTGGAACAAACTCTTGAATACTTCGAATTATATCAACACTAAGCAGGTAAAAGGTACATCCACCTATCTGTTGTAACAATGCTGCATTTTCTCGAAAATTCTTCCAAACTTACTTTCTTAACCTGCAATAGGCATCAACAAGGTTCCTTTATGATATTTATAGAAGATTTGACATGTTTCCACTGACTGAGGGTTGATGAGCTCTTGGAATTGACGAAATCTCCTTAGATTCTTGCTTAATGGCAGCTTCGAGTACGGAACTTGCTCGACTCTGACATCTAAATAAATGCAGTTCCTTGATTGGTTGAAAAAACCTCTTAAGGGTACCCCCTAAAAATGCTTCTCTCTGGGGTTGGTTGTACTAAGCAAAATTCTCTAATCAAAGAGTTCAGAAAAATCCTCGTTACCTTTTTTCACGTTTTCTGTTCTTTCAAATTAAGGTAAAAACATTCTCTCAAACTTCCTTATCACTACACACCAGTGAGTTGCCCAATGCAGTTTGTGACGTTCTTTTAGTTTCAAAGTTGAGTCCTTGCACGGACTTGCTCGTGTTTACATCAGGCTGAAGGGGGAAAGGAAGGAGAAGGGAAATGGGAGCAAATGGGAAGCGTGTTGGGAAGGTTAAGTAGAATAATATTAAGCAGAGGTTTTCTAATTCGGTTGAGTAGTAACGTGACTATAAGACAAACCAAGGGGTTTGTCACAGATTTACTGTAACAGCACATCATTCCCAAGTAATCTGTTACCACTATAGGTCCACCTTTTAAGAAAACAATGAGTTTGAAAGGCAATTTCTTAGGGTAGTGGGAGAAGGGTCGTTCGGGCCGCATGTATTATAATTTGACAGCCGCACTAAAATAGAATCGCTTTTAAATAGGGTTTAATCTTTCCGTATTTCTTCCGATGGGTGGGGGTTCGTTTCAAGTAATCATGCTTGCACTGCTGAACCAATCGCGTGAACTGTGAACCAGAACGTCATATCCTATTGGGTGACCAAGTTTAGTATATTTATGTTCATGTAAATTCCAAGAGAAAGTCAAACGTTCAAATTCCTCAGTGGACCCCAACTAATGGGGAATCCACGCCTGACTCAAACAGAGATACTAGTATGGCCAAAGCTTGTTTAATGGATATTTCAAGGCCAATTTTTGACGCTGCAGGCTTCAAGTTTGAAAAAATCGCAGCGAAATATGCTGGTGATAGCTTTGGTACTATTGAAGAGACATTTGCATCAACAGAGGAAGAAGGAGAGGCACGAGAAATTGAAGAATCTCATGACGAGGAAATAAAGGAGAGTATTTTCTTGATAATATTACAAGTTGAATGTCTTTCTTCAGTCCTCAAACTGTGGCTCCGTAGAATAAATTTACTTCAAGACAGTGGTAAATAGCAACTAAACAAGCTTCAGGACCTGGAACACACAATCCTCACTACCCAAGAGTCTGTGATCAAACCGTATAAGAAATTCTTTGTATCAAACCAAGACAAAGACTTAACGGATCTGTTGTTAGAACCGATGCTCTACATTTATTGTGAGATTCTTGAAGAGAAGTTGACCAAAATATCGATTGAAAGGGTAAAAGTAAACTTTGAAATTTTAGATGAAGGCCACGCAGGAATGAAGCGAGAAACAGTGCGCGTTTGCTCTTACCTTGGACTCAAACTCGATTTCCTCGACTGTCTTGAGGATGGCTGAGTCAAATT